TTGATACGTTCACACGAATTGACACGATATAGACTTTCCATAGGAGCATGGAGTGGCATGGTCGCTGGCAAGTACTCGATACTTGTAGGTATCGAGGATATACGGCCCATTCAAATGCGCCATGGGCGGAGCTCGTTATCCCCGGGGATTCGAAGTTATCCAAAGGACCCTTGCTGAGTCACCCACAAGTGGCCCAGGCAGCCCCCTCCCACGTGACCGCTTATCGATAAACTCGAAAAGGACGCCTCGCGCCATTGCCACAACCGTCACTTGAACAACTGCAGCCTCACTTCATCCACTACCTTTTGTTTGTATTCGGCGTTTTGTTGTTTTCATTTTTTTCGAGGACCCGACAATGGAGGCTCTCGACGGGCCTGCCCCGAAAAGACGCAAGGTCTCGCCAACTTTCGATGCACCCTCAATTTCCCCCGCAGCCCCATTTTCCGAGTACGTTGTAGTTGCCCAAGCGCACCTGAGAGCCTCTACGCCCAACCCTGACCTTTTCGACCGGACTTCCGATGACTCTGCTCTGGAAATTACTGTGCTGGAGGTGACCAAGTCGAAGAGCCGCCATGTTATTCGATTCTCTGTTGGGCGAGGCAGGATCGGGAAGTACATCTCGATTGATGGTCTGTCACCGAGGGATCTGCAGATCCTCGAAGACGTTCAAAAGTTGGAGTCGGCGGTGAGATACAAACATCCCGCGGCGCTGCCACTCGCTTGTGCGTATGCCGTGGTGCAGCCCGTGGGTCACGAGGTCTGCATCCAAGTCTGCATTCTGTGGGAAAATACTGCCGTTGTTCGAGAGAAGGTCGACCCAGTATTACTTGACATGCTTGGGCGTTATCTGCCACCCACAGAACCCAACGAGCCTGCGCTCGAACCCTGGAACCCTCGTCAGTTTTATGACAATGTTCACGTTCCCGAGAAGTCAGATGCCAACTCTGCAGACATTCGGATCCCACACCTGGACTCACAATTGTACCCCTTCCAGAGACGTGCTGTTCGGTGGCTCCTTTCAAGAGAAGGTATGGCTGTGCAAACGAACGGTGAACTTGAGCTGCTGTCTAAATCGTCCGAGAGCCGACTTCCAAGGGGGTTTGAAAAATTTGAAACAGTGCACAATGGGACTTGCTATGTCAACCATACATTGGGAGTTACTACGACAGACCTATCTGCGGTCGAGGAATATTTTGCGTCCGTCCAAGGCGGGATTCTAGCAGATGAGATGGGTTTAGGAAAGACGCTGGAAATCATTGCTCTAATCTGCCTGCATCCTAGAACAGCCTGGACACCTAATCTTCCGGGGTTGAAACCGTCTCCTGCAACCTTGATCATCACACCCCCATCGATTCTTGAGCAGTGGAAGGACGAGCTTCAGAATCACGCTCCCTCACTGAGTGTTTTCCATTACACGGGAGTTAGCAGCTACAGGAAATCAGGGGAGAAGCTTATCGAACAACTTCTCAACCAAGACGTGGTGCTGACGACCTACAATGTCATAGCGAAGGAGGTTCATTACGTCGCTGAGAAGCCAGATCGAAATCTGCGCTACAAACGAGAGGAAACGCCAAAAAGCCCTTTGACTCAGATCTCCTGGTGGCGTGTCTGCCTAGATGAGGCTCAGATGGTTGAAAGTGGTGTGTCTTCCGCGGCCACAGTGGCTCGCCTCATCCCACGGCACAACGCTTGGGCAGTCACGGGAACCCCTCTTCGGAAAGGACACCGAGACTTGTTTGGCCTCCTGCTCTTCCTTCGATACGAGCCGTGGTGTCGATCACCGCGGCTGTGGGACTATCTCATCAATTACCACCGCCCTCTCTTCCGGGACATGTTGGGAGAGATTGCCATGAGGCACTCCAAGGAATTCGTACGTGAGGATCTGCGACTACCACCGCAAAGCCGACATACCATCACAATCCCCTTTACCGCCATCGAAGAACAACATTATGCCCAGCTTTTCCAGGAGTTCTGTGAGGATTGTGGTCTCGATCGGACGGGCGCTCCTTTGGAAGACGACTGGGATCCAGACTCCCCCGCTACGGTAGAGACGATGCGGACCTGGCTTACTCGTCTACGACAGACATGTCTCCATCCCGAGGTTGGAGGTCGGAATAGGCGTGCGTTGGGTCGAAACACGAACGGTCCCCTTCGGACGGTTGAACAAGTGCTGGATGTGATGATAGATCAGCATGAAAGTCAGCTTCGCACCGCGCAGCGAAATAAATTGATCGCACAGATCCGGAGAGGGCAATTAAAAGAGAACGCCAAAGACACCGATGAAGCCCTTCGGATATGGAAGGGAGTTTATGACGAATCTGTTGGTATTGTAACGGAGTGCCGCAAACAATACGAAGACGAGCGACAGTTATCGGATGCCAAGAAGGAGCAAAAAGACGACGAAGAATCGAACCCAAGGCTGACGACTTTGAGGGCTCGACTACGATCTGCTTTGGAGGTTCAGCACATTGCTATTTTCTTCATGGCAAATGCGTATTTTCAACTCAAATCCAACTATTCTCCGGAAAGTGAGGATTACCAGCAACTGGAGAAACAGGAGACGGCGGCATATGAAGAGGCAAAGTCAATCCGTGGAGAGCTGCTGACAGAGGCGACGAGTCATGTGAACAAGATGATTACCACAGTCAGGTCCAACTTGGCAAGCGGGGTGACGCAGATACCACCTATGACCGAGCCCTCGGGGTATGGCGGGATTGAAAGCAGGAGGATTTTCGAGAAACTGCATCACTATTGCAAAGCGATGGATGCCCAAGCAGCGCAATTTCATGAATTGCGGCAGAAGATGGCGGACTTCTTGAGCCAGGCCCTTATCGACGAGGATGAAGGCATCGAACTCCAAGGTGATGAATACGAGAGTTCGACCAAGCACCAAGACGAGATGTACGCATACATGGAAGCACTCAGAGCCCTGTTCGCCGACCGTTCTGAAGCCATCAACGGTCAACAAAACCTGCTCATTAGACAGGAAATGAAGCAGTTCTACCGGATCGCCAAGGAAGGGGAAGGCCCTGCACCTAGCTTGATGCTGAATTTGCTTGCCCAGCGTGAGCAAACGCGTGTCAAGGTCAGTAAGTTGGGCTGTCTACGCGGGATCATGGCCGAAATCAGGCAGATGGCATCTTCTTTGCAGTGGCAAGAAGGGAACAATCAGACTCGTGCGAGCCAGGAACTGGCAATCCTGGAGCGTATCCTGAAACATGTCCAGCAACTCAATTCGGCACAAACGAAAGCTTTGAACAGTCTTGAGCAGGAGGTGAACCATTTCCGTGATACGATGAACAGCCGGCTGGAATATTACCGCGCCCTTCAAAAGATCTCGGACACTGTCGCACCGTACCAGGAAGAGAACGTGGGAAAGCCTCTGTTCGAACCACACTATCAAGAGTTTGTGGCCGAGGAAGCCAAACTACAACAGAGAATTGCCTCCGGTTCTGCCAAACTTCGATATCTGATGCACATGAAGACAGAGTCCAAGTCGACAGGGCCTCGGATCTGCGTCATTTGCACTGACAGCTTCGAGGTTGGTGCCATGACCAATTGTGGGCATCTGACGTGCAAAAGCTGTTTGATCCTATGGGTCAGTCAACACCACAATTGCCCCGTGTGTAAGACCAGGTTGCTTCCGAACAGCTTTCATGACATTACCTACAAACCCGCCGAGATAGCTGTGCAAGCTGAATCTCCGTCCAGCTCCACCTTTGCGTCGACGTTGTCGAACACGGACCACCATCATGACCAGTCGATCTACTCCGACATCAGCACGACCATGTTGAATCAGATCAAGAACATTGACATTCAAGGTCCCAGTTTTGGTAGTAAGATTGATTTCCTCTGCCGTCATCTGCTCTGGCTCCGTGAGCATGACCCCGGCTCCAAATCTATTATCTTCTCACAATATCGCGAGTTCATTGACGTGCTCGCTCGGGCATTTTCAGCATACAAAATCTCATCGACCCGTATTGATGGCAAGAACGGCACTGAAAAATTCAAATCGGACCCGGCCATTGAGTGTTTTCTGCTTCATGCGAAGGCGCATTCCGCTGGCTTGAATCTTGTAGTTGCGAGTCATGTCTTTCTCTGCGAGCCGTTGATAAACACGGCGATCGAGCTGCAAGCAATTGCGCGAGTGCATCGTATCGGACAACACCGGTCGACGACAGTATGGATGTACCTTATCGCCGATACAGTTGAAGAGTCCATCTACGAAATCAGTGTGGCGCGGCGACTGGCACACATGAAGAGCAAGAACGAAACCGATGCCTCTTCGGCCTCCCAGTCGGGCAGAAATACACCCCATCTGAACAAGACTCTTCAAGAGAATGCAATCGATGCCGCCAACTCTCTGGAGCTACAAGCCGCCAACCTCAGTCGGCTACTTGCCTCGGGCAAGTCGGGTGGGGAGATAGTGGACAAGGAAGATCTCTGGTCGTGTTTATTTGGCCGAGCCAAGCGACGTGACGAGTCGGCGCTGGAGGCACTTGCTGATCACCAGCCTGCAAATACGGAAGTGGGAAGGTTCTTGCGGGCTGAGGCTGCGGAAACGAGGTTTGACACAAGTTGAGAGAGAATGCGAGGCTGAGAGACGGAAACTCTGGTTTATCAATCTTGCGCCGCCTTCTGACACAGGTAGACACTTGAAGGTGCAACGTATTCCATCCACCCTGAAAGCTGGTTATTGCAGAGTCCAGCACCGGCGAGGACGAAGTGACCTGAGAGACGTGGGTATTCAGGACCTTGATAGATGTTAGATGAATGTTCAAACCCAAGGAGTAGCTTCGAGCATTATATTGATTGATTGATTGACTATCCCAATATCCTCAGATCAAACCAGATCGTCTGCATCCCTTGGGGAGACACATGGAAGGTAAAAGCATGTGCCATACCTGTGTAGCTCGCTATGTACGTAGGTAAAATGAGGAGGCGCCGTCGCCCTCCCCGTTTCTATTCTCTGTACCAATTTGTAGAAAAAAGTAAGTGGTTCATCGACACCAGAAAACAAATGGTCCGCGCTCGCGGTTCTTGTGGAGACTCGCATCTCCTGTCTCACGGCCAGCCTCGCTCGATGCGCCTTGCTGGTGCGTGTTGCCGGAATTGCCACTGCCACCTCCCATGCCTGTGACGGGATCTAGGTCCAGGTCCATGGCGTCTCCGTCGCTGGGGTGGTCGAGCCCTTGTCCTTCTCCGGCGGCAACCTCATCCAGGTCGCCCAGTCTGTCGCTCCACTCCAACCCCTCGCCGTCGCCGAGAATGGTGATGCGCCACCACCTATCATAAAGAAATGGCGTTAGCAGAACTGGGATAATGAATATCCCTCTAGAGGAGGAGGAGGAGGAGGAGGAGGACTAAACGTACTTCCCCAACATAATCTTCCCGCCGGGAAGCAGTGCGCCTTCGTACGCGTAGGCGTAGTCAATGTCGTTCCACTCCAGGTACTCGCTGAGGCGGAACTTTTCCTCCATCTCCTCGACCGCGTCCCTGTCAAAGTTGGCCCCGTCGCGCCACAAAGGGTTCGAGACGAGTTTCGTGCGCAGGTACTCGTCGAGCCGCGCGTCGATCTCGGCGGCGTTGTCGAGCGCGAGCGCGGGCGCGGGGTCAAGGCCAGGGCCAGGGCTGGTGTTGTTGTTATTATTACCTTGCGCCATCTGCGCCGTCAGCGCTGTCGCGTATGTCTCGCCGTACTCTCCCTCGGCGTGCTCGAGGACTTGGATCAAGTAGCGTTTGCTGGGCTTGAAGAGGATCATCACGACGCGCTTGAATCCCGGTAGACCGGGGTCTTGATTCGTGTCGTTGTCATCGTCCTCGTCGTCGTCTGTAAGAGCTTGGGCAGGGATGGAGTGGACGACGCCACGGAGACGAAGGGCCAAGTAAGGGTGATATTTGGACAGTTGTGGCGCGGCCGGCAGCGTGAGTGTGGACTGCGATTCCGCCGGGTCGGATGCCCTCGCAGAATTGCTCGGGGGCGATAGCTGGACAAAAGGAGCGAGGCCGCGGATGAAGACGCATTGGCTGAGGTCGGGGAGTGACTTTTGAAAAGCCGGTACGCTCTTGAAGATGGGCGACCAGAAGCCGTCGACTTGGTTGTCCGCCGAGATGGCAAAGTCGAGTTTCTTCACCCGACGCAATCAGTCTCTGTCTATCTGTCTGTGCCTTTGTGTGGGGATGGTACTTACCATGGGATCAACCTCGTGCCAGTCTTCCGCCAGGCTTTGGACCTCTTCAAGCTCCAGCCGCTTCCTCGGCCAAATGGCCAGTGTGGAATAGTGTCCGTACCACTCGGTGGGAATCTGTAGCAATGAGTCGTCGGCGAGCGGCCTATCCCACGGCTTCGGAGTGATTCCCTGACGCATCAGCTCTCGTGCCATTTTCGCATAGGTATTCTCGGTGAGAGTGTCCCTCGCCCCGGACCCTTTCGCGGTATGGATAAGGTGACGGTGCCAGAAGTTGCGAATGTGGAGCAGAGAACGGGTGTCGAGTTTATACGTCGGCCTGCCAGTTTGACGTAGTCTGTGTAGCCTGCCGCTGTGTCGTTTATTGCGTGTCCTGTTTCGTGTCGAGTTTTTATTCTCTTCTCCTTTGTCCTTCCCCTTCCCCTTCTCTCTCGGATACAGAAGAGTCAATGGGCTTCCCCAATTGTACACAATGGCTAGGTCATAGTTCGTCCTGGATGATCTCACAGTGGATGCCATGCGGAAAGCCGGTGACAATAGCAGATGGGATAACACAACCTGGATCGAGTCAAAGAGGGAATGTGCTTGGCCGTATCGGTCGCCGCGGCTGGGGAAGAACGGACAGGACAGAAATATTCGTGCCCATGGAGAGTTTTCTGACGCAAATGCTGCGAGGTTGCGAGAGGTCAATGGTCTAGGGAGGAGCTTGGACTGCTGATTGTAGGACTCTGTGTGGGAGACGATCAGCTTCGAGGCATTGTGTATCTAGATAATGAATGCCATTGGACATACCCAGGAGCATATCTCTCAAGACCTCCAATTGGATCTGCAATCTCTCATCGTCCGGGTCGGTGAACTCGACGAAATGCTGGAGGACAAATTTCCGTAACTGATAGGCCGAAGCAAAATCTGTCATGTCGACGATGAATGGCCAGTCGAAGACCGAGTTGAACCGTTGACGCCAGATTGCCGACCGGGAAGATGTCAAAGCGTACGCAAAGGTCGTGCAGGTGAGCATCAAGTTGTGGAGATCCTGATCATCCGGGAGGAAGGTCACAATCTTGTTGAGGATCTGCCCGATGGTCAGCGGCAACCTCACACTTCCAGCTCTCACAATACTGACTTCATTGGGCACACCTTCGAACTGGCTGCGGACACGAGAAGAACGTCTCGGCTGCCTGGGAGGATGCCAGTCACCATCCATCCCGTAAGAGTCGCCAACGGGATCGTCAGCAAGGTATGAGCGTGAATTGAAACTGCGCTTCAAGCATTGTCTGTGGGCAGCAGGAGGTATTCTCTTCAGATCCTGTCCACCTGCAAAATACATATCGTCGAGATCTGTGGGTGGATCAGAGAGAAGAGACTCAGTGTCAGAGAAGGTCTCAGCAAGGCTACCAAGAGCCATGTCGACTGAAGGGGGAGCTAGGGTCAACAGCTCAGCGAAGGGCCTCAAGAAAACAGGGAAGTGAAACCAAGGTGAAGGAATGAAGAAATCAGAAATTAGCCATTATACATAAGGAGGCCCCGAGGATGCCTTTGACCCAGTAGTGAATTGCTCCTCAACGCTATTTCTCGTCAGGTTGTGCCTCTTATATTTGCCATCGACTCACCGCTGAACCCTTGTCAGCACGAGCATCCAAAAACAAAAAGGTCTACGGGGTATTCGACTTGCAATGCTTTCATCTGTCCTAGCAGCCTGGTCTATTCGCCTTCTATCAGTCGCAATATCGCCAGCCGAACCTGTTCGCTTGTCTGAATTCTATTATGCCCTCCGTGTCGAATCCTTTCCCACCGTAGGTGCTTTCTACCGTCCTTGCTCTTCCATTCTTCTCGATCAAGGTTGCGAGGAAAGTCGACTAGGCCGTTGGTTGCAGAGTCCAATACGTGTTCCCAGTTCGCGCGACCTTCCTGCCACGGGATCTCGTAGTCGTTGCGAGCGTGTAGCATGACCAGATTGAGCTGGACCTCGGGCGTCTTTGCTAATTCCACCAGCCTAGAGCTCGCGTCCCATTTGTCGAGAATGTGGGAACGCAACCAATCTTGCACTCGAGGATATGCCATCAACGGAGATAGAATCGGAGGTGTAAGGCCTTTAAACGAGTAGGACTCGAGTAGATTGGGCAATGAAGTAAAGCTGGCGATGGTAATTAAGCCCTTTGGCGGTGCCCTGCCTAGTTTTATCACCCATTCGTAATAGGTGGCCGTCGAAATAAACGTGCCCATGGACTGTCCAACCAAGACCACTTGGGCAGGGTCCACATGCTGGTGGTCTGTTTTGCGTCGATCCTTGACATTGTCGGACTCTCCAGTTAGAGTAGACAGTAATGATACAGCGTCCTGGATAACACCCTCCTCCGTGGGACTACCCGTGCTCAGGCCGAATCCGCGGTAGTCGAAGGCTATCACATGGACCGGTTTCTCTGGGGTCGACACACCCAGCATCTGCTGATATGCGGAAGGGCGGTAATTGGAGGCGAGGTGACCAGCATTTCCATGACAGGCTAAAACAACAACTGCAGTCGGATCATTGAGAAGAAGTTGAAGACCAACGCTTTTGGAAGCGATCTCCCAGGGCTTTAGGCCGAAATCTGCCTGCTCAGTTAAGGCTTTCTCGTGCTTGGAGTAGAGATGTGTAGGGAGGATATGCCAGGCAAACAAAGTCACATTGTCAGGGGTGGTGACGGTGAAGGGTTGAACTTGGTGATGGAGGAAACCAAATTGCTCAGTATTGTTCAGATCTTGAAAATAGGTGGGATTGAATTTGTGGACGTAGGTGGCATTGCGCTGGACCACCGGCAAGGTCAAAGCACCCATAGCTACTGCATAGATCAATCCACACCCAGCCAGACCCCAGAAGGCTCGGCGGAAGAAACTGTCGAAGGCCATTGCAATACAAACTAGGGCGATCGGGGTTGAGCGGAAAGGAGTAAGGGGTGCAACAGGTCAATTTCACACATTCATCGTGAAAGCTTGCTGTTCCAGGTAGCGATGGCACATGGAGATCAGATACGTGGGAGTGGTCAGACACTGCTGGGGCTTTGCTATCAATGACTGAAGATTACTCCTATCTCCAGTCGAGGCTGAGGCTGAAGATGAAATTGCGGTTGCGGCTGCGGGCCGCGGGGAGCGAAGAAGGCCCGGCAAACCTTCCTCCAGTTGCGGCAACGTTGTGTAATTCTTCCTGATGCACATGCGCCGCCGTTCATGCTTCCTCCACTGTTTCCCATCTGAACCAGCCACAAGAGTTTATCGGCCTACAGGTCGTCTTTCAATCACCTCATGGCCGAGGTCACTCCTCAGAAACGGGTTCTGCCCGCCCGTGACAGACGAGACCTGATCTCAAAACGAAGAGTGTCCTCGCCTGCGCGACCTTCTGCTCCTGTATCCGCGGCCACTCCCACTCCGCGCAGACAACCCTCCGCTGTCGCCTCAGAACCCCGCCAGAAGCGGCCGTACAAGAAAAGAGCCAGTCTCGTTCGGGTTCAGACTCCAGTCTCGGTTGCACGGTCATCTCCCTCGATTTCCGTCGCGGAAGATGCCTTGCCCTCTCGCATTGATGCGAACCAGCCGCTCCCTACGGCAAAACAGAAACAACCCTCCGGTCTGTCTGTGCATGAATATCAATCGATTGCGGAGAGCGCAGTCCTTGCCTCATCCCTACACCGTTCTCGTATGCAGTGGCTTTACAACGGGATATTTCAAAAATACTGGGTCAAACCTGTCAAGCGGAAGGGTGTGATCGAGGCTCCCCCCAATAACCCCGATGCCAAAACGATGCAAAGGCTGGGTGCTGCAACTGTGACGATTGAGCCTCACACATTTGATGTGGTTTTCTACACAGTTCGCGATCCGGCGGCTCCTCCGCCATTCCCACGCCATCCAAATCAACATACCATCAAGCACATGGCTCCTCCTCCGCCTCCACCGCCACCATCTGCTTCTGCATATCCCAGTTATCCTCCTGTTGCTCCGTATAACCAGGCTCAACGACCGCATCCACCTCCATCTTCTGTGTCACCATCGCCATCCACGTCAGCTGCGCATCCAGCCTTCAATCCTCTGGCCCCGCTTACAGATACTCCGCCCTCGGCAGCTCCGTCCCCTTCCAATAAGGGGCCTCCTCCGATCCAGTTCAAACAAGAGAAGGAGTCAAGACCCAGTCCTGCTGCATTCCCATCACACACACCGCCAGCCCAACCCCCACATGAACAATCTCAGACGCCGCGTCCGGACTCAAAGCCCAATCCACCTTCAGGAGGGAGAAGCAGCACGACAGATCCAGTTATACAAATGCTGGCCGCACGAGCAGCGTCTGATCCCCAGTTGAAGGAGCTGATGAAGATTGTGGCAACTTCAATGGCTTCACCTGAACAATTAAAAGAGTTCCAGGCTCACATCGACGAATTTAATGAAGTAATCCGGCGGCAGGAGGTAGAGCGGCTTTCCAAAAGCGAAGCGCGGCCACCAAGCCAGCCGCCGTCCACGCCGACGATTGCAGAACCCCCAAGGCAACCGGCCTTGGAGCCCCAACCTACTGCTCCGAGTCCTGCACCTCTAGGACTGCCGTCAACTCCCTCTCCTGCAGCAGCACCCGGGCGATCATCAACGTACAATCCTCCACCGTCACAGCCACGTCAGCATCCGAATAATGCTTCCCGTGGTCCTCCTCCTGCAGGTCCACCACTCGGATCTAACACATTACCAGGAGTGATGCACACATTTCCACATGCGCCGCCACCAGTTGGGCGTGGGGCCCCAATGGGAGGCTACATTGGGTATCATCCTCAGCCGCAGCCGCCACCACCACCTCCCCCCGCTCGACCTGAGCCCTTCATCAAGCACATTGTAATGGAGATTACCAGTGTACCGTCTGGGAACCAGGCCGCGTGTTCGGATAGATGGCTCTTTCCCGAGTATGCCGTCTTGGAGATACGTCCGGGTGGTTTAGAGATGGTTTGCTCGTGGTTAGTGGAACGCAAGGGCTCTGAGATCACGGCGAGCGGCGAGTTTTCAAGAGAAAAGAGCGAGATTGAAGGCAAGTGGCTAGCGGAGCAGGAGTATTATCAGCCAGTGACCATGAGCATCAAGGCACTAAATCACCGGACAATAGAGACGATCGCCAAAGCAGCGAAGATCTTGCCGGTCGTGCAGGAACACATGAAGGAAGTGATGAGCAAAAAGCAACGGGCGCCGGTGGAGTATCTGGTGCACCAGCTGCCACGCGAAAGGGCACATGTGGGTGCAGACAGCACCGAGTCTGGGTTTGTGGATAGCGGCGTGGACCTTGGCAGTGATTCAGCATCTGAAGACGACGAATTGAAGGATGTCTACGGAATATGAAGTGCCGGGTCCGTAAACGAGAAGACAGGGAGGGGTTCAGATGGATCATATGCGGCTGCTTTAATTCGATTGGGCCAGCACCCATTACAAGGACTCTGATAGACTGTAGATCCCGAGTATTCCAAGGCTAGACTGGCATATGTACTGCTACCCGACCGGAGCCTGCTGGGGCGATGGATTCAGAGCGGTCACTAAGATCAGACCACGAGAAGAAACGGGTTCTCGTTTGACTTTTCCCCGGCGCACTTGTCGTGAGTGATGTGTACAAGGAGGAAACTTCAGCAAGGTATACAAGTACGGGAGGTTGCCAGGTGTAGTAAAATACAAAACTCGAAAAGGCGCATGTGCGGGCGTCTGATCACACGTGACTCGGTGAGATTCAAGGTCGCCGTCCATTCAGTCTCGGTTCATCGCTGCTCAACAACTCAACCACCCTCACAATTGTTCTTTCACCACCCCCATCAAAGTCAAACGGAACAAGGACAAGACGGGAAAAAAGGCTTACCAAGGGCGAGTTCGGAAACAGAGCCGAGCAAGTTCTTCCCCTTCGCCATCCGACGAACCCACGCTCCAACACTCGGACTCGAATCAGAGACCCTCACTCTGCCACCCCGCCCTCCCCCTGGTTCAGGGAATAAGACTCCTCGAAGGTGCTGTGGGACGGAATTGAGAGCCGTGAGAAGAAGCTGCGAGAATATGTCATGGCGCGTTGAATAGTGGCTCGCGGAGTTTCTGGGGAGTTCATCCCTACATACATCTGACGACTTTACGACTGGCCGATTGCTGGGCCTTGTACCGGCCGCCTTGTCTAACCAACCACATTGCCGTGTTACCAACCCCTGGGTCCCATCAAGCTCTGTGGCGCACGTCTGGCTGTCCGGCACCACCAGCACTCTATCCAGGGCTTACGCCATTATTGGTCCCTCTATCATATCCGACAAGCTCACCACAAGTTGGTACCCCCGGGCTCTCTATCGCTTTCCCCTCGACCGTCGCCGTTTCTTCGTTGCTGTACCTTCCAAGCCGCGCCACTTGTACGCTCTGGATCATCATTTTCCTAGACTTGCTATGCATCTTTCTTTCACATGTCGCTCTCCAATCTCGCCATTCCTTCTTCCTCTCCCTCCCACGCCTCTCCTCCTGCGAAGCCGACCCAGATAAAGTTCTATCGTCCTGCGCAAATGGCCCTTTTCGCCAAACTGGCAACATATCCTCCACTGGCCCAGGTTACGGTCGTCCCTCCGACAAGAGACAAAGTAAGTCCCCCGTTCCTTTCCCACAACTCGTTTCGTCCTCAGTAGGGCAGAGCCTGGCGAATATTATTCGAGGGTCGCTCCGAAACATGCGTGGTTATGACGTCTCTTCTGACACATGATTCCTCCACCTCGGGTCTGTCGCATTAACATCTAGTGTAGTTCAACTTCACAGTCGTTCTCGAGTCCTCAAAATCACTGCCGGAAAGGCCGTGGGAGGTTTCAATATGGTACGATCACGCTAGCTACACTGGGACCAAGGCTCCCTGGCACGCACTCGATCTCAAATTAGTCGACACCACTCCGGCCGTTCTTTATGACGATTCTCAGACGGATAATTACCGCTACACATTTTCTGGAGATCTCGACAGCCCCTTCGTCTCGGCCGACAGAACTTACAAGGGTCGAAGAGTTCCGTTTACTGTTCGCTATCGAGTTGATCCGGATTCGGAATGGTCCTGGGTCTATCACAATTTCGGCATCCGCGATGGTGAACTCATTCTACAACCTCCCGTTGACCCTACCTTCCTCGGCGCATCGCCAGTTGAAGTCGGCGAAGGTTGGATTCTTAGGAAAACCCCAAGCGATGCGCCAGAAGCGCGTCTCTATACGATTGAGTCAGCTCTCCCGATTCCTTCCCCAACCGAAGGAAATGCCACAATCGAATCACTTGTCTTGGGCAGAGTAACTCAACTCTGCCGGTGGTTTGCATTGGTACGGATATGGGAACCATGGTTTGCCCCGCGGCATGGCGAGCATCAACTGCATCTATCGGAACCGGCGATATTGCTGTCGTTTCTGAGGTGCGATGGTCTTCATGTTGTCATCTTAGCAATCAACGGGATCGACGACGTCCTTACTCAGTTCGGGTCAACACGGGAAGGCGAGATTGTGGTCCAAGCGAGAAATGATTCCGGGCGGGATCGCAAGTTCAAGCTCCTGGCAGCCACGGCGTGGAAATTCGAAATCGCAAATGCTGCCGTCATGTACGAGATGCGAAAACTAGTCCGACAGTCAGCAGCCTATCAGCAAAACCTTGAACGACTGGAGCAGCTGCCAAAGAGTATCAGGTCGGAGTCGCTTGACTCGGACACTGTTTTGGTCAATAACAACGAACCCTCGTCGCACCAACCACAGGTAAATCCACAGTGGTTGGCAAGTTGGTACGACAGCCTGGCATACTGCACATGGAACTCCCTCGGGCAGGACCTGAACGCCGAAAAGATTATGGCAGGGTTGGATTCGCTTGCGAAACACCAGATTTACATCTCAACCTTGATAATCGACGACAACTGGCAGTCCCTTGACGGCACTCAAGGGGCGACGGACCAGTTCCATCGAGGGTGGAAAGACTTCGAGGCCAACCCTCTAGGATTCCCTGACGGACTCAAATCTTCGATAGACAAGATCAAAGAGGCTCATCCCACGGTACGCGACATTGCTGTTTGGCACGCCTTGATGGGATACTGGGGCGGGATCTCTCCCGAGGGCGCTATCGCGAAGAAGTATAAAACTCTCGAGGTCACATTCCGTGACGGAACCCCAATGGCTGGACGTAAGCTCACCATTCACCCGGACGACATCTTCAGAATGTACGACGACTTTTACAGCTTCCTGTCCAATTCAGGGGTCACTGGCGTCAAGACTGATGTTCAATTTTCGCTTGATCTTCTGGCGAACACATCTGATCGACGGTCATTTACCAACGCCTATCAGTCTGCCTGGACCCAGGCACACCTACGCCATCTTTCTGGAAAAGCTATCTCATGCATGTCGATGATTCCACAAATTCTCTTCCACAGCTTCCTTCCCACGACGACACCAAGAATTCTCCTTCGCAACAGTGACGATTTCTTTCCCGATGTTCCGACATCCCATGCTTGGCACGTGTTTGTCAATGCGCACAATGCTCTATTTACCCAGCATCTGAACATTCTTCCTGATTGGGACATGTTTCAATCGAGTCATCCGTACAGTGGTTTCCACGCTGCGGCACGTTGTGTCTCTGGTGGACCTATCTATATCACGGATACCCCGGGTGAGCACGATGTGGATTTGATTCATCAGATGACCGCGCTTAATCCGCGAGGACAGACGGTCATATTGCGCCCCAGCTGCGTTGGCAAGACCATGGGCGTCTACGACAAGTACGACGAGAAGGGGGTATTGAAAATTGGTGTCTACGACGGCCGGTCCGACGTCGGTTCGGGGATGTTGGGCGTTTTCAACATCGCCGAATCGGAGATCAGCTTCATCCTCCCCATTACAAAGTTCCCAGGCGTGAATGCACCCGCTTCGACGGATGGAGCAACACAGATTTCAAGTAGAAAATGGATCGTCCGCTCACATATGTCAAAACGCATCACCGCTCCAATTCACCCATCCGATCCGATCCGAGCAGACACCTTGCTTCAGTGCACGTTAGCCCCGCGAGGGTACGACGTTTGGACGTCCCTCCCTGTGCACACGTTTCGTCTCCCAGTCTCGAATCTGGAAGTCGACGTGGCTGTGCTGGGTCTTCTGGGCAAATTCACAGGCGCATGTGCGATTGTGGAATCAAGCTTCAACCATTCTGAGGTTGATGCCGAAACTACCCCTCATCGACTCAAGATACACGTACAATTAAAGGCGCTCGGTGTCCTCGGCATTTGGATATCCGACGTCCAGTCTCGGCAGCGCAAGGTGGAAGACATGATGGTCATGGTTCAAGGAAAGGCTGTGCCACAACATGTCATTGGATTTAATGCAGACCACGGACCTGAGGGAAGTGGGGTTCTCGAGATCAACATTGCCTCAGCATGGAAGAAGATGGAGCTAGAGCCTGGGTGGAGCAACGAGGTCGGTGTCGACGTGTTTCTGCAGTGACTACCGACCTCTTTATGGTTTTAGAAAAGAGAAGGGAGTAGGGGCGGCGGAGCTGAAACATCTAATCCAGTATTGGAGGTTTCGGACACTTCGATAAACAAGTCGATGCTTGTCTTCCGGCCAACCTCGAGAAGCGCATTTTATCGTCAAATTGTTGCATGGGGTATCGCCAGTCCTTTGAGGGAGGACAGCGCGATTGTCAGCATTCCTCCCGGGCGCTAACACACCACTTCATTGCTTTTTAAGTCTGGGGTTCGTTTTGCACGCAACACTGCACATTTTTCGCTATATATTTCTGTCCAGAACGACTCAGATGTTTCGAATGGACCCGGTTTTCCTGGAAGAAGTCATATACGTTGCTTCAACTTTACGATACAAAAGCGCGCAGTACCATGATATCACGAAATGAATTGAGGAAATGTTGTGAAATGTCAGGGAAACGGGGAGCATAGAGACCCGTGTCAGCAAGTTTGATGAAAGGAGGAGAGGACCGTATACGAAGCCAGCTATGAGCAAGGGAAAATTTATGCCGCATGAAAACGTCAAGCATGGCGCTACGTATCTGGAAGAGCAAAAGGGTTTACTTGGACGAACAGCACTGCAGCCGCCAGCCAGCAGCGTGGCGTCTTGTCATGACGGAACGTACGTCGGATAGAGTGAATAGATAGATAGACAGACAGGAAGCATAGAATGCCAGAGAGAGACAGAGAATCACAAGCAGACGACGAGTCTTGTAGGGACCAGAAAATGGTACAATGCAGAAAAGTTCAGCGTCGCGCGCATAAGTAGGTGAAGTGAGTGAAGTGACTAGATGCTTGGTGTGATATATCCATATCCACATCACTATCTTTATCCCTGTCTCGCTGTGCCCGCGGTGCCCACTGCCCGCGGTATCGTATCGCATCGCATCTCAGTGGCAGAAAAGGCATGGGGAGGCGCGTGAATTTCGTGGACGTGGTGGAAAGGAGATGAGAAGGGCGGGAATGGATCGAAATCAACGGAAAGAGCATCTGATCTGATCTGGTATCGAGCATACAAACCACCACCAGCCAGCCAGCCAGTCCACGGGCAGTTTCAGTCACCGACCGAGTACGAGGGACGTACATATGTATGTTTGTACGTTGGTTTGCATGTGTGTATATTCCTAAAACGGCCCAATGACCCTACAAGTTGAGAGCCCCTGGTAGAGACTGGGCCTCTCGGTATCAAGATATCAAGAGACGGGGTCACCCTGTCACTGAAGCCACAGATATGGACCGCGGATTCGAGTTACCGAAGGGTCTCTAGGCCCCTTTCACTTTGCTCATTCCGTGACTTGAAAAGCCAAACTGGCACCCAGGTTGGTGGGGGGGTGCCGTGTTGCTTCTATCAACCACCCCCTTCTGTAAAGGGTCAGGACTCCATGAACGCCATGATGTAGGACTTGATGTGTAGTTGATGGGGGGCAATTCCAAGCGTAAAACAGCAACCAGTTCATGATTGATTGAAACAATTCCAACCTCCAGCAAGGTATGTAGAGCTCTAGCCCGCCTCTTTTATTTGTCGTCATAGAAGCCTTCTTTTTCCAGTCTCCGTCGCGCTTCTTCCAGAGCCCATGTTTGTATCCTAGAATGTGAACAATAGCATGTCAGTTCTCCATGGCAATATAAAAGGTTTGGCGCACGCAATGAGCCAGAAAGATGAATGGGAACATGGCTTCTCGCCCTCGGAGCCAGCCAGCAGGAGATCTTCAGCCACCCTCCAATCACCAATAACCATTGACAGTCCGACAAGCTACAATCGGGCCACGAAAAGAAGCAGGAATTGCAAGGGTAATACATACGAGGTATCCTCTTTCATGGTATATGCTGCGACTGCCACGACCCAACTCGCCACAAACACCCACGCAAATCCCTCCCATCCTTCTTTTTCATATTTCTCTCCCGGCCTTTGACCCCAGAGCCACCCTGCCGGAGCATCAAAGTGGTCGTCATGTCCATGGGCGTCGCCATGGTGACTGGGATGAGTGTCTTGCCCACGGTGCTCATTGTGAGCGGTGGTTGCCGTGCGAATTGAGGGGCGGGCTAGGGTGAAACGGGATGACGAGGTGGTAGAGGATAGAAGCGACACCGACGGGCGCGCAAGGCGAGAGGGTAAACGATGCAACATGCTGGCTGCGGTAACAAGTGATGCAATTGCAGGTTTCACAGTTGACTGGAGGTCTGAGGGGAGGTGCCGAGAGGAGGGCGCGCCGGTCTGGAAGAAGAGCCGTCGGGAATCTTCTATTGTCTCGTCTCAGTGTCGACGACAGAGAAGAGTATTCGAGTGGAGGACGGACCACGAGTCAACAGAGATGGAAACTGGGGGAGCTGGAAGCTGGAACGCGAGGTGGTTGTAGTGGGTGAAAGAGTTGAGGTTGAGACCATCTGAAATGCCAAGCCTTGGGAGCTCCGAGTTGGAGAGTCAAAATCTCGGATCCGCGGCATCGTCAACGTCAACCTCGTCGTCGACCCATGCACTGTGGCACTCTACCACATACAGAGACTGCTTCCATGGAAAAGGATATACGCAAATAAGCAACCACGCCCATTCGTGCATTTCAGTCTTTCCATGACCTACACTAAAACACATGGCCCGCTACTACCATCATGCTTTCCTCGTTGCTTCTTGGCTACTCGTGTCTTTGCTTTGCTTTGCTTCCCTTCCCTTCCCTTTGCTTGTGCTTTTTGCGGATACATTTAATGCCGTGTGCATGAACCGGAGAACTCGAAGAATGGGAACAGCTGACCTCCCACACACGACTTCAATGCATAGGAGATCGCTGTCATAAGCCAAACTCCTCCATGAGAATCGTAAAAGAAAATAAAGGAAAAAGCCATCGACAATGCGTATCCGTCACAAGGTCACAAGTGCCCCCAAGGTCGTGCATTGCACGTTTCCCGCTTCCAGTTATTACAAGAATTCCTCGGTCTTGCTCTTGTCCTTGTCCTAAGTCCTTCCCGCTTTTGCTTTTTTTGTGTCCAACGATCACTCCCTCCCAATGCTGATAACGACATGCGCCGTTCCCATGCATCCAATTCGATAGCCCGAGCTTTCGTCATAAACGCCATGCCGTCGTACTGTACAAATGCTCCACAAGAAATCAAAGGGGAAACCCAATATTGTTTCCCCATCTCAGTTAGCTTCCACAACCTTTGTGAAATTTAAGGACGGTGAAATCTCGTGATCTACCGATGCCTCCACCGTATCCAGGTAGCTATTTGCGCTCCTGCTCTTCGGGAGGCACGGCTTCCTCGACTCTGGACTGGGTGATGAGTTGGGCGGATCGAATATTTGCCGGAACACCGGCTCTTGGAATTTCTGTGGTGGCCGCTCGGGACTGAGCGACACCCCTTCGGCCCTGCGCACAATCTCTTTCAGGGCCCTTGTGATTACGCCAGCTCTCACCACCAGATCTCTCAAGTCCTGCGTGTCAAATGGGAGCTTGTCACGGTCACGCCCACGCCCACGGCCCCGAATGGACTCCTCGGCGGGCGAGGCTTCTGCCTCCCGTCTATTCTGATGGATGGCCTGCAAGAAATTCTTAGCTTGCACGCTTTCTCCACGTGGCCGTCCGTAGGGAGGTGTTGCCGGACTGGAAATAGATCGTCGGCTCGTTATTCGTCCCTCTTCCTCCTCGATGGTCCTTTTCGGCGGAGGAGTCTCGTCGCCAAAAATGTCAGATGACACCGGTGAAGGTGCCCGAAGGAGAGCTTCGTCATCCTCGTTCACGGTGGCCAAATCAATGATGCTCCCTGCATCCTCCCACAGCTGCCGTGAGTGACTGTCCAAGAGTCCAAGGCCAGCACCGCGAAGGCGCAGCCTCTTAAGCTCTTCGACGAGTAACATAAAATCTCGAACTTGGCCGAATTGGACATGGACACTTTGTTGGCGATCTATGATGGATTGGGGAACCTTGACACTTCGGATCGACTCTCGGTTCACCGTTTTGGTCTCATCTGCCATTCCCGGAGCTTCCTCGTCCACGTCAACGTCGTCAAACTCAAAGTCATCGCTCCATTCTTCGCTTACAGGCTTGCTACCCAAAGCCCACGTACCAAACTTAGTGGCCGAGGATGGCGTATCACTTTCTGCGACACTGTCACGGTTGACGACCGGAACACTCTGGCTGCGGAGGTGCATGGTTGCATTGCTTTTCCGTCCAGAAGGCCGACTCCTGCCAACATGGCTCCCTTGCTTACCATGAACGGTTTGCGGCCGAGGATTGATACCATTTGGCTGATCGCTCCCAAACTTCGGGTGTTCTGACCAATCAAAGATGGACGATCTTTGGATGGACGGTTGTTCTTCGAAATCGTCTTCCAACAGCTGCTCAAAGCGAGTCTGGATTGGACTCGACGGTACCTCACTTGGCGTCTTTTGTTGTCTGTCACTGGCAGATTTGGGGGACCAGTCAATGTCATCTTCATCGTCCATGTCCCTCATTGGGGGAAGCTCAGGCTCCGCGGCCCGAGCTCGTGGAAACAGCTGCGTGGAAGGAGGGGAAGAGTCCAAAACAACAGGTTCACGATAGATTCTCTTTGGCACTGGCGTTAAAACAAAATCGTCCACTTCTGCTGAGGGACTTTTGACCGGAGTGGACGCTTGATCTGGACTGAGGTTTTGCGTCTCCTCTGTGGGCTCAAGCCCACTAATGCCGATGCCGATATTGGCAGATTGTTCGTGACCTGCCTCGCGTCGAGGCGATTGTGTATCATCTAATGTGGCACGTTGCATTAAATCCTCCAAGGCAGATGTTCCCGCTGGAACCTGGTCAACCGACATCTCATCAAAGATTGTTTCTATTTTCGGTTGGCGGAAACCCGAGTGACTGCTGGCCGTGGCTCGAGTAGCCAGTGAGTCATAGGCAGTGTCGCTTTGGAAGTCCATGGAATCATCATCGGTGAATACTCTTATATCATTGTCCGAGCTAGCCGTGGTTGGATCCGAAGGGGCAACAGAAATGCGTTTCGGCAGAGTAAATCGGTGTTGAGGAGGCCCGTAGGAAGGGGGGCTTGAATTAAAGACCGGGGTCCCGTCAGGCAAGTCAACTTCGAAAGTGGAAACATTCGACATCGGTGAGAGGTTAGAAAAGGCAGTCGAGGGCACAATACTGCCATAGGCTTCGTCTTTGTTGAGCCTCACGATTGGGTCCGTGAAGTGCCGTTGAGGCATACCCTTCCGCACAGAGTCCAACGTTCGACGAATTTTATGCCGCCGGATTGGCGCGGCCAGCTGGATGTCAGACGGCTGTGACATGCGGTCGTCCATATCTGTCAAGTCTCGAGGTTCTATGCTCCCACCGAGAAGAAGGGTTGGAGGGTAACCCTGAGATACTGAAACAGTGCGAGCACCTGCTTCTCGCGGCAACCCAGATGAATGTCGTTTCCTCGATTGGGTCGTCTCGAAGAAAGGCCGCCACGTGGGTTCGTGAGCAATGTAAGCAGGAGACTCGAGGTTTGTGGATTCGCTTGTCAGAGGTCGGGTATAGGGCACTCCAGAGAGCGTAGCTGATCTTTGGTGGCTCGTAGCTGGGCGTCTCAAGAGAGCCGGCGTGGCACCATCACTGTTCAGCTTTGAGGACGACCTCTTCACAAGCTTGTTGGGTTGGTCGAGATCATTTAGAGAAGGGCGAGATGGACCCGCAGAGTCATCTAACCTCGATGAGGATGAGCTAGGGCTGCCTCGACTGTGACGAGACAGACTTGAGATTCGTCGTAACCAGGTGGACGGTGTGCTCTGTTCCCTCCCGTCTGCTGACTCCCTGCCAGATGTCCAGGGTCTCAATATTCCATGTCTACTGATCGAACTTTCACGAGAGTCTGTGCCGGTACTCTCTGTTGTTGCTGAAGGGGTAGATGCCCGGACAGTCTTCCTCCTCAAGATAGATGTAGACAGTCGACGTTCCAGTCTCTCGGACAATGCTGGGAGGGAAGCAGAGGGTTGGGAGGTATGAGGACGTGCCGGCTGTTGTTGTTCGACAAAGACCGGAGAATGGGTGGCAGCATTAGAACCAGGAGCCTTCCTCTTGCCCGGCTTAATCAAGTATGAATCCCCTTCGGATGTACCAAGCGCCAGTCCCGCAGCGGCTACACCAAGTGTGCCGACAGCACAGAGCTGCAGGTAGAGGGTCAGCATGTGAGAGGCAGCGGGGGATGTTGTTCGTCAATGAAGTCTCCCTACCGTAGCAACGTGCTCTTGTCTCGATTCCATCATGCTTGACAGGCCCATTGCCCTCGGGGCACCACAACCCAGACACTCTGGAGGTCGATGGATTTCTCCGTCCTCATGGCGGGTTGACCATCAGCAGCAGGAGTAGAAGGACGAAGAGAGTTCTGAGAGGGAGAACGGCCGTGGATTCGTTGGCTGTTTCTAGAAGACGTGTGGACGCAAGGGATATGGGTCTCGATATACGCGGGCCTGGAAATTGGGTGAGGACACACGCGACTGGTTTGGAATGGGCCGGGTCAGGATGAGAAGGGAGGGTTGATCCCTGCGGATTGAGTCTCAGAGGACCAGCAGCATAGACACAAGATACGCAAGACACGAACCAAAGCACAAAGGAAAAGAGACGAGGTGACGAAGAATGAGCCCTGATGGGAGGGAGGTGTGCAAGACGAGGTGCGGTTGAGGGAGAGGAGGATTTGAGGAATCCCAGCTGGTAAGCCAGTAGTTTTTAGTTGGTGGAGGGGCGCGCAAGGACTTTCCAGGCGTGCGAGGGCGTTCACTGGCGTTATAGGTAGGTAATAACCGGCAGGCCCCATAGGTAAGGCTGGGGCGGTTGCCTTGGCCTGTGTGGGCTGGTTTTTAACTAGCATGTTGATCTCTCAGTGGCCCATCACCCCGCCCGACCAACAACGCTGTCGTAGTCTCGGAATTGACTTCTGTATGTATTGAAGTATCACCACCGTCAGACAAGGTGACCCTCTTTTCCATCGCCGTCCCGTCTGTCGACCTACAGGATCGGAGGAGAATGGATTGTCCAAGCTGTCCATGTCAATGGCAGCCTCCTCAAAGTCCACACTTCGGACGACGCCGTCAGAAGGCCTTGAAGCAGTCGATGCTTCTCTTAAGGGGGGCGAAAATCCCCAGCCGGTACCGTAGAGGGAGGTCTGGAGCACTGACAAGTGCACAGGGCAACAGAATCCTCTCAAACCACCCACGCACGACCTCATTGGCGTCTAAACGGCCCTGGGCGCTCCCGGTGCGTCAAACTCAAGAGCTAGAGCGACTCTATGGCTGGTACCACCACCGCATCCTTTTTGCTCACAAATCATTCCGCGGCCAGCTACAGACATTGTAACCACATTGCTACATGATGAAGCGGTGTCGTCGCTCAACCGCCGCTCAACGAGATGTGGTGCTACGATTGTCTTCTTTGAACAGTTCTGGGTGGGATGGGTGTTGTGGAAGCCAGTATCTACCTACATAGCAGCAGTCGGGGCCAGAATCTTCTCCTATTTGAGGCAGACACAGGTTGACGCCGGCATTGATGGCATTATTTCGAACCAAGGCAGAACCTGTCACTATTTCCACAATATCGAGTCGTGCGAGCCCACAGCGACTCGGGAACTCACGAAGGACCAAGGTACGGGACGATGCCGTTGAGCGTTTGAAATGAAAACCTCGCAACAAGAGCAATGGAAATAGAGTCCGTGCATGTCACGGCGCGGGTTTTGATATCGGCACAAAAAGAGAACGCTCTGGTCTCTGTTTGCCCCCGTTTGCCCCCGTTTGCCCGCAGCATAGGTAGAACTCTGCTAGGTGGTCCCCGGGCAGATAGCATATCCCTGATCCAGCAACGGTCCAGGGTTGGTAGAGGACCCTGAAACTTTGTGGCCTGGTAAGTTGATTGAACTGCCCTTTTTGGCGGAAAGGCGACCCGTTGGAGTAACAAGCCAGCGTCCTAGTCAATTGAGTCGGGATATCTCTTGCGCTTTAGGAAAACTTTGTTGGGAGCTGGAAAAACAATCAGGACCTTTAGGTGCAACATTGTTAGCGCGCCCAGCCGTCTCTGTGCTCCATGCATGGAGAAAGACGACGTAAAAGGGCTGGATGTCGGTCAAGGAAGCAAGCTTTGCGAAGCTGAAAAGACGGCCAGCTGGACGCGTGAGCGTGTGGGAAAGGCACTAAAGCAAGCAAGCAACAGGCCGACCAAGCGAGTCAGCCAGGGTCAAGTGCGTTAGCGACCTCCCAGAGCATGAAACGCGATGATAAAACTGGAAGCCCAAGACCAGGATGTACGTAAATGGCTGGTCAATCGGATGAGAATATATCAATGCGGATTCGGTGGGCTTGATATGCCATCCCGGACGACTTACTGGCCACACACACACTTGACCCAACACCATCACAGTCACCGCTCGCATGGCACATGCGGCTAAACCAACAGTCTGCCCACAAGCCAAATCGAAAAACAAGTTTGCAGACCCCGAACGGAAATGTCGTTTGTTTGTTGTTCGGGTACACGAGGCCGATCGCGCGGTCAGGCGGAGACCAAGAGGAGCTCGTCTGAGATTCTGACAGCCGAGTGGTTCCCAAACAAACATGGAAGGGCCTGCTTCTCGTTTACGAGCGAACAGGGAACCGTGGCTCGTCCGGGTGGAGGCCCGCTAACTGGTTCCCTCATAACAGGGAATCGTTCAGCATCATGATAGGCTAGAGCTTCAGATGACGAGATGTGGGTGTTGATGCGCCCAAAGTCAGATCTCGCGTCGCGTGCCAGTCGGTCTAGCCCAATACAGTCCTGATGACACACAATTGGGGGAGCTAGTCGGCTGGCTGTTCCCTGCAAAACCTGTGATTGTTCGACTGACTGGTGGAATGTTGAGTTGCTGTTGTGTTGTCACACATCAGCCTCTGATGACGTGACACTTGTCAGACAGTGCAAGCCAATGCTGGAGTAAGAGAAGGGGAATGGGTTTCTGGAAAGAAACGTCCGCTGATTTGCTGTTCGCGTCTTGTAGCAGCGCTTGAAGGAGTTTTCGTATTGATTGAGCCTTTTGCCAGACGAGGCGACATGATGCCTCTGCAAGAGCTTTTCGCAAGGCCAATCTGGTGGGGGCCTCAGCCGCTGTCGGGATGCCGATCCTACAATGCTAGCGGGGCTAGAAGAAGGAAAGCTCTCGTTTTGTGTTCTTTTTGCAAGCTGGTTTACGTGACTGGAAGCAGCTGGTGATTGAAAGGGTTGAGGTACTCGTGGATACAAACAAGACCGTCACATACTGTATAGCACTGCAACTGCTTCCAGCAACCATACGAGGGCAATCAAGCCGGAGAACTGCTTTCACAAAAAGCAACGGCTGGGAAGTTGCGGGGGCACCAACAAGCCGATGCTCAAAAGGTCCGTTTGACATCAGAGCTTGCAAGGGATGGGCATGACGGATGGTCCATGCGTGATGATCTGATATCCCATGTCCGGACAGGGTACGAGTAGAGACTCGCCCACAGCAGCAGTCGTTTCATGCATACAAGTACGAGTATACGGATTCAGATGCAAGGAGAAAGTCCGACGTTGCGGGATCCTCTGCTGCAAGGTCTCGCTACAGGGGATTCGCCAGCTCTAGAGCAAGACAACAATCTGGAACGCTGCTTCTGAGGCCGTCAGCTGCAAAGTAAGAACACCTTAGTCCAACCAATAAATGATCGGCTTCCGCGAATGGTGATGGAAGCACCCAGGTACATAGGATCGAAGGCTGGTTTTCTTATATTGGATGATGGTGATGTCCTCTCTTGTTTCCAAACCCCCTATATGCTATCGTTACCTGGCAGCCTGGACTCCGAGGTTGCTCACTCGTTGGCATTGACTTTCTCTGGTTGAGGAGTAGGCTGTGCTCGTTGCTTCTGTCTTGTTTGTAATAGTCAGGCTTGCCCGGAAAGTGTCATGGACGGCACCACATCGTAGTAGTCAATGCTGGTCCTGCACACTCTCCGCTACTGCAAGACGCCGGTGATTTTAGCGAGGCACTCCCTGTTGCAATGTGAGTGCCAATGGCTTTCTCTGGGCGTCTTTTTTCGGCTCGTGGGGCACTGTTCTCTTTTGTGACATGGTTGGTGCGTGTCTTGCTTTCGGGGTTTTGGCTAGGCACTTGTAGGTTCCCCGCTCTTTCCAACAAACCCAAAAAATAGCTCCATGGTGGGATTGAGATGGGTGTGATGTGTAGCTCCCTTCAAAGAGCTATTGGCGGTTGCGGATCTGAAGGGACTAAGAGGAGAAGCAGTGACATTATTGCAGTGATTGAAAAAAGGGAAACAGAAATCAATGAGTTTCCAAACTGCGCTCTGACGAATACTCGTACTTGGTGGAAGGGATGATGAGGTGCAACTAAGTCATATTTGGCTTAGACTGCCAAGACGGCGGAAATTTCGGATTTAACAATCTCGAAGGTTGCGTACTCAATACAGAAAGTCTTTCACCACTTTGAAGTTTTATTACACCTCAAGTAATGATCGTCCCTGTCCCATCGGCCCAAGCTGAGACCTTTGGAGAAGATCCATCATCCTACAAGGCCCCAAGCACCATCCCGAGGGGTTTTGCAGTAAACACCCCGGCGTTGGCTAGTCTCGCAGTCCAGCCGGCAGTTCACCTGGCTTCGTATTCTGAAATTCTGGCTTTCAAGGCCCTCCCCACAGCGACCAGAGACAGTGCGGAAAGAAAGACGTGACAACGGGTCCATCAACGCCACAGCGCCCCGCCTCTCGGCTCCCTCGATCCCTCGCAATTTTAGCTACACATCAACCACATCGCGAGACGGCTTGCCTCTCATCCCCGGTCGCATTTCAGCTCCTTAGAACCCGAAACATCCAGTCACATTCACCTTCAGCTGACGTGCTGCGAATCTCGACTCTTGAGACTTGTCTGCGTGCACCTGAGATTGCGCAAATAACCCCGCCCCTTGCTGCTCTTATCGGCGCTATCGACAAAGGTAGCAGTCTGCTTGACAAAATTTTCGGTCTTTCTTTTTGGTGACCCATTAATATTGCAATTATGGAAGCTGAGATCCAGTCCCAAATCCCTAACATCGACCATGTGCTTTCGGAATACTCCGTAGTAAGTTTGCGGAACACGAAGCTCAGCCTCGTTTCACCCCATATTGTGTTACTGACCAGGCTCTAGGGATATCTGAATCATGCGTCCA